CATAACCTGAGCGAGTACCTGAAGCAGTTCGTGTTCCCTCAGCACGAGTGCGAGCTGCACAACTTCCGCCTGAGCTTCAGCCAGCTGCGCTGGGACCGCTGGATCATCGCCCCGCACCGCTACAGCCCGCAGTTCTGCCGCGGGGACTGTCCCCGCGCCCTGGGCCACCGCTACGGCTCCCCGGTGCACACCATGGTGCAGACCCTCATCTACGAGCGCCTGGACCCCTCGGTGCCCAGGCCCTCGTGCGTGCCGGCCGCCTACAGCCCGCTCAGCGTGCTGACCGTCGAGCCCGACGGCTCCATCGCCTACAAGGAGTACGAGGACATGATCGCCACCAAGTGCACCTGCCGCTAGCGGCACTCTGCTTCGGGCCGCGTTCGCACTCCCAGACGCAGCTTTTAGTTTTGCACTCTCGGGGTCCTGCAGCTACGGCCGGCCGAGCAGCGCCGCTGTGACTGCGGGAGCTGGGAGGCAGCACCGACATAGCAGAAGGGGGTTCACATCAGAGCACTGGTTTTTGTACTCACTCAGCCTTTCTAGAATGTGCAGTTAAATGTAAATAGTGTCTTTTTATCGGGAGGATTTTGCATTTAAAACGGGGGAAAGGTTTCAAGTACTAAATGTCTATTTTTAAGCTGCTTTATTACAGATTTAAAAAAAGAAAAGAGAGAAATAAATGGCTATCAAACATACCCTGACATGCAGTGCCTGCTACTCTGCCTCTACATAAACCTTGTGTGCGGCATCTCCAGCAAGGACTAGGGAGGGGAGAAAGTCTTTAATGTCAGGATTATTTCTTCAGTTTTTCATTCTCTTCCCCTGCCACGTTCCAGCTCTTCCAAGCAGGGTGACAAAACCCTTCCTCACAGTTCTATCGTTAACGTGTTGTTTTTTGCTTTTCTTCTGTTGCACTTTTTGGGCTTTCTCAGGTAAAAAAAGGGTAAGAATTTAAAAGCAGCTGTGGGTAATTTGTGAACACTTAAATCAAGGCACTTCTTTGGTAACAATTGGCATCAGGTGAGGCTTCCTTTGATTAAAGAATAGGGAGCAGCTGTCCATGGGGTGAGGGCAGAGGATTGTCCACTGGAGCCACACTGCCACTGGCTTCTGAAGTAGGAAGAATTGTTTAAAAAAGCTTAATCCCCCAAAATGGCTTCTAAAAGCCTTAAATGTGTTGATGAAAATACTGTTCAATGGGTTTAATGTTCTGAAATGTGGGGCCACAGCTTTATTTCACAATGAAACTGTAGGTAACAAGTGCCTCAACTCTAGATGCTTTCACATCAAATTTTTACTGTAATTGATTTATTATTATTTATTTTCTCCTCCTGGACTTGGGGTTCATACACAAAACCTCTCAGCTTTAGTGGGGATTTTTCTTGTTTGTTAATTAAAGGCTGTGGAGCAGCACTGTCTTGTAAAACTTGTTCAGAACATCCTTTAACCTTGAATTGCTAATGGATTAATGAATAAATGCTGTAACTTTGTGCACTCAGCCACCCAACCAGCCCCTACCTGAGATCCTGAGCACTTCCAGAGGCCGGGAATTCAGCCTGGCAGGGCAGGGGCTGCTGAGTGGTGTCAGTCTGGTTCACCTGGTCACTGAACACACGGATGGTGGGGTGTCTGGAGAGCTCCTGGAGTGCTAATCTGCCCTAAAAGTGAGGATCCTGCTCCAGCTTTCAGTCTCTGACTGCTGAAATCAAAGTGGTTGACACCAAAAGCTCAAAACGGAATCCTGGTGTCACATAAAACCATCCTGGTGCCAGCACTGTGGGCAGCTGGGTCGGTTTGGATTGTATCACTCCTGCTTTTTCCTTCAAACCCTGGGAATTTGGCTTTGCTCACCTGCCAGAAAAGAAAAATAAATGGAATTGTTTCCTGAGACAAATCCTTCTAATTATGGTGAAATGTCTAATGTAGTCCAATAATCCTAATATATTCTAGTAGTCCATTAATGGGTATAATCTTTCATATAGTATAATAATTCCAATAATAATATATTACATATGTGTAATATATTGTAATAATTCCAATAATGTTGGACCTGATATATTCTAATAATGATTCCAACAATGTTGAAAATGTTCAACATATTCTAACAAATCTAATGTAGTGTAATATTAGTTTAAATAATGGCAAATATGTCTAATATAGCATAATGATGCAAATAAAGTTGAAAATGTCTAATGCAGTCTAATAATTCTACTATAATTCAAATCATGGTGAAAATGTATAATATTCTAACCATGCTCATCTAGTTTAATAATAATTCCAATAATGTTAAATATGCCTAACAATTCTAGTATCTTCTAATAATTTCAACAATGTGGAAGATTATTTATTATATTCTAGTAATCCTAACAATTATCCATTAATGTGGAAGCTGATGTACTATCATAATTCTAATAGATTCTAATTATAATTGCAATAATGTTGAAGATCTCTAATATATTCTAATAATAATTTAAATAAGTTTGATGTTGAATATATTCTATAATTCGAATAATATGGAATATGTCTAATATAGTCTAACAATTATAGACTCTATTAATAATTTCAGTAATATTGAAGCTATCTAATATAATCTAATAGTAATTTCAGCTATGTGGTAGGTGTCTCATACATTCTAATAATAATTCCAATATTGTTTACGACGCTCATTGCGGGGCGGGGAGAGAGGAGGGGTGTGGTGGAATATTTAACCTTTAAAAGCATTTTCCAGCGCTAACTCTTCCATAATTCCATGATTTTCTGCTTCAGACACTTTGGCGGAACTCCAAAATCGCCACACAAAAGTGGGATTTTCCTCAGACCATGATTTATTTTCCATGGGAGCTCCACAATCGCCACAGGAAAAGTGGGTTTTTCCTCAGACCATGATTTATTTTTCATCGGAGCTCCACAATCGCCACACAAAAGTGGGTTTTTCCTCAGACCATTATTTATTTTTCATCGGAGCTCCACAAACGCCACGCAAAAGTGGGGTTTTTCCTCAGACCATGATTTATTTTTCATCGGAGCTCCACAATCGCCACACAAAAGTGGGATTTTCCTCAGACCATGATTTATTTTCCATGGGAGCTCCACAATCGCCACACAAAAGTGTTTTTTCCCCCGTTATTTATTTTTGGCGGCTTTTCCGCTCTGAGGCACCGCCTCTCCCCCCCTTCCCTCAGGACAGGACCCGTTCATGGCGCACATCATTTATTACAAATCGCCTGTTAAAAACACACTTTAGTATAACTTTGATTTATCACACGCATATTTCATCGCCTCTGCCGTTCATTACAAACGGAAAGCGCAGCTCGCGGTGCCCCGGAAGGCCTCGCCGAGGCAGTTCCGGGGCGGCCGGCGGCCATTGCGCGGTGACCGAGGGGACACCGCGGCCATGGGGAAGCACTTCGGGAACCTGGCGCGAGTGCGCCATGTCATCTCCTACAGCCTGTCGCCCTTCGAGCAGCAAGCCTTCCCCAATGTCTTGTCCCACAGCGTCCCCAACGTGGGCCGCCGCTTCGCCTCCCAGGTGTTGAAGGTGGTGCCCCGTGAGTACAGGGGGTTTCCTCTTTTTTGTACCCCTTTCGTAGTGTAAGTTTGGGCAGGGGGAAGCACTGGGGCAGAGTGAGGGTTGTGGGATGTTGTTGTGTCGCAGGAGGGAGGTGCCGAGCGCGGTGCGGTGTCCCCTCACTACGGTGTCCCCATATTGTGAATATTCCATTCTCCCAGCGTCCTCGTGTTGTGAAATCCCCTTATTCCAGTGTCCCCGTGTGGTGAAACGCACTTATTCCAGTGTCCCCGTGTGGTGAACCCCCCTTATTCCAGTGTCCCCGTGTGGTGAACCCCCCTTATTCCAGTGTCCCCGTGTGGTGAACCCCCCTTATTCCAGTGTCCCCGTGTGGTGAAACCCCCTTGTTCCAGTGTCCCTTCCCTGCGGTGTCCTTTTGTAGGTGTCCAGTCACTGCATCGTATGCCACTTTAATGTGAGTGCCCCCTTAGTGCAGTGTCCCCTCACTGCATTATTCCCTTAGAGCAGCATTCCCTCATTCCAGTGTACCCTTGTGGTGAAACCCCCTTATTCCAGTGTCCCCTTGTGGTGAAACCCCCTTATTCCAGTGTCCCCTTGTGGTGAAACCCCCTTATTCCAGTGTCCCCTTGTGGTGAAACCCCCTTATTCCAGTGTCCCCTTGTGGTGAAACCCCCTTATTCCAGTGTCCCTTCCCTGCGGTGTCCTTTTGTAGGTGTCCAGTCACTGCATCGTATGCCACTTTAATGTGAGTGCCCCCTTAGTGCAGTGTCCCCTCACTGCATTATTCCCTTAGAGCAGCGTTCCCTCATTCCACTGTCCCTCCATGGAGAGCGTCCCTTTCTAGCAGTGTCCCCTCATTGTGGTGTCCCCTGACCGTGGCTGTCCTCTGTCCCTGCCAGCTCTAGCCCTCGGTTACCTCATTTATTCCTGGGGCACGCAGGAGTTTGAGCGGCTCAAGAGGAAGAACCCGGCTGACTACGAGCACGACCAGTGACCAGGAGCAGTGACCAGTGCCCACGAGCAGTGCCCACGTGGCTCCGGAGCTCCCCGGGGACCTGCTGTGCTTGTTCCCATGGCCGGAGGGGATTAACAGAGATAAGCCTTGGCTAATAAACTGTAACTTTGCCCCATGACTCTGTGTGAAATCCGTGTCTTGAGCTGTTTGAGGTGAGGAGCATCAAATCCCTTGTCTGGTTCTCTCTGTACAGGCAGATAATCAGGCTGAAGTTCCATGTGCTCGGATGTTTTATCTTAGAGCACTTCCAGCCTTCGTAATTCCCGTTTCTTTGAAATATTCCTCAGTATAAAGTGCAGCGAGGGCTGGTTTGGAATTGTTCCTTGTCCCCTTTATTTTTCCCATCACTGGCTGGCTGCTGCTTTTCCTTCAGCCTTGAGATCTGTGAAAAACAAACACTCCCTGGTTTGGTATTGATTAAAGCTGGATGGGCTGGCTGGTGGCTTGGGATTTGGGATGGACCCTGACCTCTGGCTGGAGGCTCGCTCTTCACGGGAGCCCCGGGCAAAAGATGAAGGGGAACAGGTACAGGCTGCACCAGGAGAGGTTTCATCTCTGTGTTACAAAGGAATTTTTTCCAGTGAGAACAATCTGTCCCTGGAACAGCCTGGGGGTTTCAGGAGGTGACTGGACGGGGTGCCAGGTAACCTCCTCTGGGCTCCCTTCCCACAAATGCCTGTACCAGCTGATCTGCCAAGGTCCCTTCCAACCTGGGCTGTTCTCTGATCCTGTGATTCTAATTACCTAGTTATGCTAATGTTAATTGGGTAATTAACTACACCTATATCTGATCAGTGGTAAGAGGCTGCATCAGAACCTTCTTGAAAACTGCCAGGAGAAGCAAGACTGTTTAGTGCCTGAAGATGATTAAAAAAATCAGCTGCTGGTAATAAAGTTGACACAGGGTGACAAATTCACCTTGTGTCTCTGAGTATAGAAACACCTTCACTGTTGGAAGCTCAGAACACCTGGCTGGTTCCTTTATCCTAATTTTTCCCTCCCAATGTTCCTCTGACTTGCCTCAAGCTCCCACCCCATGCACAGCAACACGTTGGTGTTCCTGCCGTGCTATTCCTGGAGCTGTCCTGGGAGTTTATCTTATCTGCAGGGCAGGAATGACGTTTCCCTGTGTGCTCAGGGCTGAGCTGTCAGGAAGACAATGATGCTCAGGCTCTCACTTCAGGAAGCTGGGGCGATGCAATTTTTATAGCTCAGTGCTGGAGTATTTTGGGGATCAGAGCACGTGAGACTGAGCTCAGCCTCGTGTTTCCTCCAAGCACTGCCTGAGGCTGGCAAAAGTAGCAATAAAATCAATCAGCCAGTGCTCCCAAGTTGTCCCCAAAATATTCCGTGCTTAGCTGCATTTTGGGTCACTGGTATTTTCTAGGCAGCTTAAGCAAGCGGGGGACAACAAAGTGGCTGCTGTGGCTGTGAGCTGGCAGAGATGTACAGAGGCAGATTCATCTCAGAAGAGACCTCAAAGCCCATCCAGTGCCACCCCTGCCATGGCAGGGACACCTTCCACTGTCCCAGGCTGCTCCAAGCCCTGTCCAGCCTGGCCTTGGACACTGCCAGGGATCCAGGGGCAGCCACAGCTCCTCTGGGAATGTGTGTCAGGGCCTCAGAGGGAACCATTCCCAACATCCCATCTCACCCTGCCCCTGGCAGTTTGAATGTCGCTGTGTGCCGGTGTAACAGTCCCCGTCCCTGAGAGGCTTCATTCAGAAGGCGGTGTCCTCAGTGGCAGCCCCCGTTCAGCAGCTCTGTCACCGAGCGCTGTCCCAGCCGCTGCCCGGGGCTCTCACGAGGCCCCTGCTCGCAGACCGCGCCTGGCCCAGGGGCCAGACTAACGCAAACAGAGGGGCAGCGGCACCGCGGCCACGGTCAGCGCCGAGGGACGGGGTCAGCACCGAGCTGCTCCAGCCCCTTGCTACCCTGCCCAGCCTCCCCTGCCCCATCCTGACCTTGCCCAGCCATCCCAAACTTTCCCAGCCACCCTGTGACTCTGCCCGTGGGCATTTCAGAGTCTGAACGAGGCGCTTGAGAAGTTTTCGCTCATTTATTTCTGTTCTCCTTTGGGCAATTATTAGAAGTGGCAACAGAGCAACACTTTAATGTTTCTTTTCTCACATCTCTGCTGTGGTGTCTTGCTGGCCTGTGGGAATTGAGGGCATGGAAAGGACCAGCTCAGTTATACTCTTTTTTCCCCCCAGTTTCTTGCACAGAGCAGTTTGCTGCCTGACAGGGACAGTCTGATGCTATTAGTGACCCAGAGGGACAGACAACAATTCTGATCTATCATCATCACAAAGTACCAGCCTTCCCCAGCCAAAAAAGCTGAGAGATGATGACTTACAGAGAGCTCTGCTGCTCTTCCAGTCCCTGTGCTTCATGGAAGTAATCAGGGCTCCTGCTCCTGCTGCTTGTCCTCCTTTGTGTTCTACACTCGTGCCTGATGGAAACAGCAGAAATTAGAACTCAGTTACATGAAAAGGAAGGACTCCATGGGAAAAACAACTGAGAAATTCCCACCCAAATATAAAATAAACTTTTTACATTCAGCTACTTGTCTGCCATGATTTACTGTCCCATTTCCTTCCCTTCTTAAGATCCAAGAAAGTGAAATAAGGAAAATTTTGCTTCCTTCTCCCAGAGAAGCAAAACAAGTAGGGCAGAGGAAGGTGTGTAAGAACCATCCTATGATGGGAATGATGAAATAGTGTTGTACACTGTGCTGGGAAGGTTTTTCTTTTCATCCCAGGGAAATTTGGGCTAAGGGGAAATCATCTGACATCGCTGCATTATCTTAATCTAAGTCACTTGCCCTCCACGCTGGCACTTGTGCCTTCACATTAAGCAATCAGAGAAACAGAGCCTGTGACATCCAGATCTGTATTTACAATTTAGCTAAAACAGTTCATTATACACTCACTACTTTATAAAGTAATTTAGTAATTATATAGTAATTTAATAAAGTAATCATATTTACTTGAACTCAAACAGTGCGTTCCAAAACCTGCACACAGTGACACAGGCTGGAATTCTCTACATCACTCTGCAACCTCAGATGTCTTGACCTGACAGACGTGGGTGCCAGACAGAACCAGAGCGTGCTTTGGGTTAAAGCTCTTGCAGTTTCCCCACCCTCACCAAGCCCCATCCAGCAAGATCCACAAGATCCCACAGGTGAGGAGCCACGAGACACTGGGACAAGCACAAGTGTGTAGGCAGAGGGGAGAGGAGATGAGAGGTACCAGCTGTGCTCACACCTGAGTCTGCTGCTGCAACCTCACTCCACAATGGAAAAACTGACTTTTCCTCTCCATGCCAATGAGCCCCTCCACCCCCATGGGAGCTGCTGGCACTTTTGGAAGCCTGATGGTGAGTGACACAGCTCGGGGCAGAGATGGCTCATCCATGAAACCACAGTCTGCACAGGGAGCTCCTCAGCTCCAGACAAGCCCTGAGCAGCCTCTTCCATTATCTACCCAGAGATGATTATCTCTGACACCTTGGGATTCCTGGGGGAAGAGCTCTGTGAGTTATCACACATTTTGCATTCCCAAGCCCAACTGGAAAATGTTACACCTGCTTTTTGAGCACTGTGTGCCTGGAAATAAAGGTCAAGCAACTTCCTTATGGTTCTTTCATGTACCAACAGTGAGAAACAAATGCACACTTCTCTGCTCCAAATCAGCTTGGCAAGACAACCCTTACCCCTGGTTGGCCAACTCAGAGCTACAGAAGTTAAATTAGGCTTTTGATTTTGACCACAATAATTTGGGCCACCCCCCCTTTTGCTTACAAATAGACCATGGAGTTCTGGTAACATCTTAGGAGGGTTTTAAAAAAAGGAACAGCTGGCACAAGGGGTCAGCACAACTGACCAGACAAAGTACAAGTGGAAGGGGAGTAAATCATTAGCTCGAGTCAGGCCTTGAACCAGATCAGTGCAGCAGATGTAGACTTAGCAATTCCCTCTTGCTCCAAAGCGAACTTTGCTCCTGTAATAACGGGCAGCTGATGCAACGATAAGAGAATGAAGTCTATAAAAATGTAGCTGACAGCCTGGGGAGTCCTGACTGGAGCTCTTTGTGCCTCCTCTGCCCACGGCTGCTCCAAGGGACAGCTCCCGCTAGGAAGATGCACTGGTGGAAAGTGATGGCAGCCCTTCTGCTCTGCTCACTGCTGCTCAGCCAGGTAAACTGAGACCGTACTGAAATAAACTATTTAAAGGGCTAATTCAAAGGACAGGCAGTCCACAAAAGCTGTTATGATTTGGATGGAAAACTGGCAGGAGCTAAGACGTGACAGCAGGGCTTTTTAGAGGATTCAACATCATAGAAATGTAGTTACTGCCTAGTGAATACTGGGCTGCTCTGAGCCACAGCTCGGCCAGTGATTCTGCCTTCACTCCCAAGAAGATGAAAACCATCATTAATTTGGGTAGATATTTCTCTGGGCTCAGGCTGCAAACCGTGCTTTACCCAGAGGGTCTGCGATCTGAAAACCAGAAAGATTTCAAGCGCTTCACTTAAAATGAAGCCCGTGGAGCTCAGCAGCAGAACGAGGGAGCGCTGCAGCTGCCACGTGTGCTGACGGTCCCCCTGCTCTGTTTCAGAGCCGCGGCGTGTCCCTGTCCCCGCGGCAGCCCCAGGCCCAGCCCCGCAGCCCCCGGCAGCGGCGGATGACGCCCTTCTGGAGAGGAGTGTCCCTGAGACCCATCGGAGCCTCGTGCAGGGACAACAGCGAGTGCCTCACCATGCTCTGCAGGTAAGCACGCTGGAACTTCCCACCTGGGCTCCTCCACGTGGGATCCAGAGGTCACTCTGCATAAAAAAAGATACCAGGAACAGGGATGGGGAAACAGAGTCAGACTCTTTAGTAAGCAGAACAAACAGAGCAGAGTCCAGGTCTCCCGAGCGCCAGCCCCAGTCCTTTCACTGCAACCCCAAATAACCTGGCTGGGCAAAGAGAACAGAGGGCTCCAGACAGCTTTTAGGCAATTTATAGACCTTTTAGGCAATTTATAGACCTTCCCTTTAATCCTCCCTTCTAAAGCATGTACTAAGGAAAAGTGAAAAAGCCTGTATTGATATCTTACCCTAAATTAACCACTTTAAGGTGATTACTTAAGCTCATAGTTTAAAAAGTAACTACAACATCAAAAGCTATTTTGTTCTCATTAGGCATGAGCAAATTGTCCAATTACATATAAATTGATTAGTAAAATTATTACTTAATGACTGAAAGGTGATTTTGTATGGCACCTGCTGTACACACACACCAGACTCAGAGACAAGATAGAAAATAGTCATTTTCTACTATAGGTAAACAGCAGTAACAGATAAGTACATCCTATTGTTAATGAATATTATCTACTATACATAGTATAGTATATATAATAATAGAGATAATATACTAGATGTATATCCCATTATCAACAAATATTATTACAAATAAGCTTATTTTGTATTATAAATTATCAGGATAAGTAAGTAAATAGGACAGGGAGGGGTACTATGCTGTGTTTGGAATTCTGATGGAAAGCAAAGACCACAAAATGAATTAAGACTGAGTAGCTGAGGGGAGCACAGAGTGCCTGAGAGGGGAGCACAGAGTGCCTGAAGGCAGCAGTGCTGGCACAGAGATGTACCTGGCAGCCCTGGCTGAGCCTGGCAGGGCAGCCCCAGCCCTCAGTGCCTCACCATGGGTTTTGCTCCCCAGGAAGAACCGCTGCCTCCTCTCCACTGCCTCAGCGTGAGCGGCACCAAGCACAGCCTGCACTGTTACTGCTGCCCATGCTCCACACGCTTGGGATGTATTTATTGACTGCTCGGGAGCTGCAAGGGCCTCCAGCGAGCGGAGTATTTAATATTTCTGTCACATGTGCTGATGAAAGGACTTCAAGGAGCTCCAGAGCATCTCCTCCCCAGCCACGCCTCTGGAGGCTCTGGCCAAGCTCAATAAAAGGGCTCTGCATCTCCTCCTCGTTTGGTTTTTTTGTAATGTTTCCTATTATTTATTTGAAGGTGTGAATTAAAATATGTATTCTGCAAAGCAGCTTGGTTTTCCTTGTATCTTGAGCAAAGTGGATGGTGAGCACAGGGCTGGGGCTCAGTTCCAGCCAGACTTTGGACATTTATCCTTCCCCCTGGCAAGAGCACAAAGTAGATCAGGCCCCATCCCCTCCCAATCTAGCTCTTATCAGCCCTCTGATAAAGGCCTGTTGGAAAGAGAGAGCCAAACTGATAATCCTGATAGCAATTCCAATATCCCAAATATATCCAGCAATAAGTGGAATGAGAGCTATTTACTTTTAATTATTTCTAATCAAATTTACTTAAATACATGTCCTAGACTGACTTTTGACACTGACCTTCCCTCCTGTCTTAAAATGAATTGATCAAAACGCTGTTTTGATGTGTTGGATGTCGACTTGGAGGCTGAAAGACAAAAAAAAATATCAACAAGTCTGGACACACACACTGGATGCTACTTTTCTTTTGTCTCACAGAGCAATAGGAACAAGGAAAGAAAATTCTGCCTAAAAATGCACTTCCAGGGAGGAAAAGGCCCCACAAAACAGATACAAGCACAGGGGGTTGGAAGTTTAATACAGAAAATCTATTTGATATTTATTAAACTTAGTTTCTCCAGTTACAGTTTTGCATTGTACAAAGCATTTTAATGACACAGTAGTTAAAAAGATCTTTACAAATTGAAATGTGATACCCTTTTCTCCAAATATTTTAATTGCCATAAATTTGTTTAAAAATACACATTAAACGCATGTTTCAGACACTAAACTTTCTATAATCTCAATACCACAAAATACATAGAATATACTATACAGATGTGGAAAAAATCTAGTTAGTATATAATACTTTGCTCACCATTAACAGCTTTATTACGTGAAATGCACATACTGACTTAGAAATCCTAATTTTGAGCCCCAAAGTACCCTTTGAAATTTCAAATGTATTGCAACAAATAAAATCACAGTTTGTTTCTATTTTTTCTGGTTTTGGTTGAAGACAGATGCCCAAATCTTTTGATAGAAAACAAAATGTAACACATGGACTTGTCATGTACAAAGCATAAAACAGAGACATCCCATTAGTTACTAATAGTACCTTTCTGTAGGATTAATCAGGGCTTCATTTATAAGTGACAGGTTAAAAGTTACCTCCCCTCCCCAGCCCTCCCCCAAAAGAAAAACCCCTTCTTCACCAAATAATAATTTCAAATAAGATAAAGGATTTTTAATAAATATATAAGCACTTTATCCTCCATATACAAAATTTTTTTAAAACAATTTAAAAGGGGGACCAGATACAAATGTCAGGAACTGTGCTTGGAAAGTCATGCCTGGTCCTTGGAGTAGAGTTTGGGATGTGGAATGCCAAGGCAGTGCCAGGAGCCGGTGCTGGGACAGGGCTGGGGACTGGAGCCAGGCTGCCCCAGGAAGGGGCACACAGCCCAGGAATTCAGCTCCAGGTGGGGGGAGACCAGGGGAAGCATGGCCACAGCAGAGCCCAGATCACACAGCCCCAGGAATTCAGCTCCAGGTGGGATGAAGCCAGGGCCACAGCAGAGCCCAGCTCACACAGCCCCAGGAATTCAGCTCCAGGTGGGATGAAGCCAGGGCCACAGCAGAGCCCAGCTCACACAGCCCCAGGAATTCAGCTCCAGGGGGGATGAAGCCAGGGCCACAGCAGATCCCAGCTCACACAGCCCCAGGAACTCAGCTCCCAGTGGGATGAACCAGGGGAAGCATGGCCACAGCAGAGCCCAGCTCACACAGCCCAGGAATTCAGCTCCAGGTGGGATGAAGCCAGGGCCACAGCAGAGCCCAGCTCACACAGCCCCAGGAATTCAGCTCCAGGTGGGATGAACCAGGGCCACAGCAGAGCCCAGCTCCCTGCGAGCTGCCTCGGCAGCTGGAGCTGCTCCCCTGCAGCCAGGGGAGCCCAGCCCGGGACCCCTTCCCTCCCCAGGGGCAGCCCAGCCCCAGAGCCTCGGACACAGCAGGAGCCACTGGCACCCCCTGCTCGGGAAGGCCCCTCTGAACAGCTCTGCAGCTGGGTGAGTTGGTGAGCAAAGCTCTGGCTCCTCTCTGTCCCTCAGGATGCCCAGCACTGACCTCACTGCTCGGGAACAGGAGTTTTCCAGAACACTGACACAGCGCAGGGAGAAGGTTCAACCCTGACCCAAGGATTTGTCGTGAAGGTAAGAATTTGGAAGTTGTTTACTCCCCAATGGGTAATTCAAACTTGACTTGCTCAGGCCCTTGTGGATCTGCCTCAATGGAAACACTGCAGTGACAGCAAAGATCTGTTCAGAAAATGACATTAAATACAGCAAAGGTAGTTTCTCTCTCTCTCCAGCAGTTTGCCTTTTGGGCAAACTCCATAATTCTCTGCCTACGGCTTTATTTTACTTGCCCCAGGCAAGTGCTACATCATTCCCATAAATTCTGACTCTCTGTGTCTTGGGGCCATTCATAAATACATTTCAGGGCATTTTTTGTTACCACAGCAATCAAGCCTCAGCAATCTAAAGGAATATACATTGCACTCCTGGATAATATGCAATATTTATCACCAATAAGATGGTGACTCAGCACTCAATAAATAATATATCAATATAGTCAGTTGCACCATAATCTAAAAACAAGTATAACATATACTTTGGACAGACTGAGTCATATATATATACATATATATTAAAAGACACATACAATACAAATTGCATACTGCCATCGAAGCCAAGGAGAGCCATCCGTCTGCTCTGCTTTATGGCTGAGATTCAAATCAAAACAAAACTCTTGGGCTGGTTTACTCTGGGGTCCTGAAGATTTGTTTGGAATTACAAATGGTTTGCACCTTTATCACCTGGAACCTGCAAGTCTGAGAGCAAAGTCAAACAGCACAGATAGCTGAGCAAGCCTAGTCTGATTGAGCCATTTTTAAGATTCACCAACTGGGGCCATGATCAGCAAGGGAATTAAATTACAGCATTGATATGTATTGATCCATATTCCCTGTCCAGGGAATCATTTGGGAAGCCAGGATTGGGGAGTCTCTCCTTAGTCACTCCTGTGACCTGCACTCCCCCTGTGGTGCTGGGAGCTGCCCAGGACAGGGACAGAGCCCTCCTGCTTTGGCAGAGGGATGGAAGCCTAGGACTTATTTGCTTTTTTTTTTTTTTGGCTATAAAATCTGATCAAGTCCAGAACTCTCCTCTTGGAAACAAGAGTCAATCCCAAATTAAGACACGCTTTTGGAATTGTGAGGTTTGAACTGATCTGTTTGCACCAGCCCCAGCTGCACAAGGCATTTCCCACCCATGCCCAAGCCCCCTGCGGATCCCCCGCACGGACACAACGCCTGGGACAGCACTCCAGAGGATGTGCCACCATGGAGCTCACCCTTCAGCTGGGACACTTCCAACCAGCTCAGGTCCACATTTTGACACGATGCTAAAAAAGCCTTCTGGTTGTTTGAAGCCAATTTCTGAGATCCACTGCTCTAGGGATAAGCGATGCGTTTTCAAGGGGCCGATTTCGCGTGACACCAAAAGGTATTTGTGGGACTCTAGTTAAGGAAAAAAAATTCCCCGAGATGACACCATTCCTGCTGACAGCAATGGTGACTGTGCACAAAAAGGAGCAAGCCAAGAACAGCCACGCTGGCTAGTGCAGCACTACACACAAACCCACCCACAATGCAACTTCTACCAAGGGATTTCTCAGCGTCAGAGGTGTGCGAGGCACTTCAGAGGAGGAAAGGAAACACAGCTGACAGTGTCCCATGCCCACGGCGGGGAGTTTGAGGGTACAGAGTTCTGTCTCCAACAGCAAAGACTAACAGAAAGGTGACCTTGCACAGTGATTCCATAAAAAGGATGCTCCGACAGACCTGAAGAGTCGAGTCAGGGAGAGCCCCAGGTCCGTTCCCCGTTTATCAATCCGGACGTAGCAAAGCTTTTCTGGAAGTACAAAACACGCTGGGACGCAAAGGAAGCTCTACGAAGATGCAGCTACCTTGTAGTAGGTTACTAATTTGCAAAACTTCTAAACTCTTAAAGCCCATAGGACATACTGCAGTACTAAGGAGCGTAGAATTCTATTCCTTCTCTCGAGGTTGCCGTGATTTTGGCACTTAACTACACCTACACAAAAAATTTAGTGCAATAATTTTCCTGAACATGCACGTTCATATCTGGTACAGAATAAAGGGTTCAATGGGAGAGAAAACAAAGCAGCATTCCACAATCTCACTCCAAAGGATTCAGAGTTGGACTCTGGGGAAGGAGACCACCACGATGAGTCAGTTTGTGTGACAGACACCGGGACTTTGAAAAAGGAAATGGAATTTTACCCAAGTACTGCAGAAGACCACTGCATACAGTATACCTGGTCCTGCTGTAAAACATCTTGTAAACAGTTCATAAAATCTTCATCTAAAAGTAAGGCATAAGGCACACCAGACATGTTGGGGGCACTAAGCAATACTGAAAGCAGTAGCATTTGAAACCTTTAACTCAGACAAGCACCTCACGTAGAAAGGTACTTTGGTTTGCACTCAGAGAGGGGCCACCTGCAGCTCCAGCACCCCTCCGTGGCACCCAGCAGCCCCCTCGGGAGCGGACGTTACGTGACATGAACGGGACCTTCATTAGCACGGGGTCAAGCCAAGTTTGCCATCCATCCTGCACAGGACAGTGCTTCCTGCAGGAGCAGCTCTGCTCCCACCCCACGGCGGCTGCTGCACTGCCAGCCTGTAGTGTCCATCACCCAGCAGACCCTAAGAGGACAAAATGGACCTAGAGTTCTACTAAAGATTCCTGGTTTCTCAGTCAATGGAAAAGATGCAAATGACCGTTCTGGTAGGAACTGAGCTACTCTTGGGTTTGGAACCACAAAGTTCCCCAATTTCCTAACTGTCAAAAAGTGACAAGCACGGAAACAAAAGGTACTTGAAATGAAGAGATGCAAAAAAGCACGAGATTGTCCTTTTCCAAAGCCTTTCCTGTTTGCATCGCACCCATCGGACTGAAGGTCATTCCTACACCATTGCCTGGACGTTACATCAAATGCAAATTACTGTAATGTTTTGTGATTGTTATAGTGTTAATCGATGGCTTGAAGCTGCCTTGGAAACAATCCAAGGCAGATCCAGCTAAATATTTTTCCATATAAATTTCTTTATAATTCATTTAAATGAAGTATCTCAATACGTAGAAGAATATCTGGAACTTTTCTATTTAGTACAAATTCTGCAATAATAAATCTGTAGTTGTCATTTATTAGTCGACTCATAGGCATTAGGCATGAGAAGTACGGTGTCCCTACTCGTTAGAACCTATCAACCCTAGTTCCTTTTACAGGCTCTACCACCACAAGACATTACAGAGTAACAAAGCTCACAAAGTACTTAAATAAAGTGTCTAGGTTTAATTTCTAAGTACTCAAAAGGGGAAATGTAGGGAAGAAGAAATAGCTAAAACCAGCCCCAAAGGGGGCTTTTCAAAATTAAAATTAAAAAAATTAAAATAAATAGGATTTCAACTGACTATTCATGTATTGTGACTGGAATCCCAATGATCTATCCACGACAGATCAGCAAAACTACCATTTTTACGTAGCAAATTTTCAAATATTTAAATAACTTAAACCGGGAACACTGGAGAAGTCCGTGAACCAGCTGATTTGGGGTTAAACACAAAACACAAACGACGATGGGAGACACGGGAAAGCATTCCTTGCTCTTAGTGTCAACTAAGCAATGTGTTATGGCAGTCTTCCTTATTGACATGACACAGTGTTGTGGAGAGGAATCAGAGGCAGCTGAAGGAGGGGCTGGGCTGGGCTGGGCTGGCTCCTCACTTGGCGTCCAGGCGCAGCCAGTGCAGGCCCTGCCGCGTGTAGCGCACCAGCTCCGTCATGATGCTCGTGTTGAACACCAGGGGCCCCATCACCTTGTCCAGTTCTGCAAAGAACTCTGCAACAGCACAAACACACGTTAAAGGAGCACGTTTGGAAAGCACAGCCAAGGCCAGCTCCCAGGAGCTGGGGTGGAGAGAAAGGGAATGAGGAGAGGTGGGGGAGTCAAGGAGGAAGGTCACTCCTAACCCACGTCCTCACTCTTCTGCACAAGACTGCTTGGAAACAACTAAACAAACTTCTTGGTTTTCCCCTAAAAGTTACATTTCACTAGTTGAAAATAATTAAAACTACTGCCAAACTTCCTTAAGAAGTTTCTTCGCTAAAGAATTTCAGAAAGGGAAATGCACCAAGTTCCTCTTCCTACACTGAACATTTTACAGGAAACACAACAAAGAATTTTCTGTCACAGCTCCAACACCACCTTGACAACCACAACACCCAGCCTGGGCTATCCCTGCAACCCAAGCTGTCACTTTCCCCCTGACTTTGCACAAGTTCAGCACCCAGGGCACCATCAACAGAATCAAAGCCTGGGAGTGTCCCAGCCCCCTCTGGAGGTTTCCATCCCCCCGAGGCAGCCCTTACCTTTCTGCTCTCTCGAGAGCTGTTCTGCTTGTTCCCAGATTTCAGTGGCATAGAGGAAGTTGGAGGTGACCTGGACGTAGCTGGCAGCCATCTGGTGGATGCGCTGCGGGATCGTCACCGAGGACCCGCTCCCTGAAGGGTTGGCTGCCCCGGAAGAGTAATTTCCTGAATTCCCTGGAGACAGCTTTGGAGAGACTGGAGATGGCATCCCAACAGGTTTGCTGCTCACACAGAGGGGAAGATGGAATTGGAAAGGCAGAAATGCACCAGCTTTAGACACACCATGCTCCGAGATGTCCCCTAAGATCCCTCTGCCCGCACTCGGGGAGTGGGATGGGAGAACACTCCCACTTTACACACCAAAAATCAGGATTTGCCCTACAACAAATGGAAATCTCAAGCTGGGAACTTCTGAGGATCCTCCAATAATTATTTATAGCATACAAAACCTCATCACCAAACCTCAGCATCTCAGAATTCAATGAATTCTTAAATTCGTCGTTTAAATGAATTGTAAAGAGTAAAAATGAAAAACCTGCAGCTACCTGGTAACTCCACTGCCAGAATATTGCATTGTCTAACATTACTGCAGATAACACAATGGAAAGCTGAAGTGCCCCCACCCTTAAACTCATGGAATGGTTTATCAAAGGTCCATTATTGGGTTTAAAAGAGCAGAAGTAATTGCTAAACTATGGAACAGAGAATCCTGCCAGTGCTTGTAACCTCTGGCCTTGCAGCACTAACAAAGTTTTTGTTTGGGGGGAGAAGCATTAAATTAAATCAATGGTTTGTGGGTTAGTGGCACACTGCTCCTTTTTTAGCCTGACAAACCCTGCAGAGCTGCAGCACCTCCCTCCACCACGACAATTACACAAAAAATGGATCAAAATCCACACCCTTCAAATCATCACCCCAAAAGCTGCTCCCCGAGCCCCCTGGCACACAGGAAATGGAGAAAATGTCCTTGAAGTTGAGAAATAGAAGCAATAGCTTTTACCACTCACCTTCCCATACCAGGTGATGGTGCTTGAGAATTATTGTAGCAATTCTGTGTGGGGAAAAAGACACATTTCACCTGATTTGTCCTTATACTTTCACTAGTTACATTTTATCTGCTTGTTTAATTGGTTCTTTTAACCAAGATTTTTTTCATAGTTGTACTTTCAAGTTATGTTCTCAATAATATCACAGTAAACTGTAATTTAGGAAAATATTCTTTTTTTTTTTCTGATGGCCAAGACACAAATTAAGGGGTTATTTTAGCAAAACAAACAAATATTATTCCATTGTCCATTACGGGAATATTTGAGATTTTTTCAGCCCTTTAACAGAATCTGTTATCACTGGCAGTGAACAATTAAAGAAATCCCAAATCTGAGAAACTGGGTATGTGATGAGCCTGTCTGCTCCCAATATTGAGAGCTGGAAACTTCAGAATCAGCTGCACAGAAATTTAGATCAATTCATGGGTAATTTCCCTAAACCCAGCCAACATCCCACTGCAAACAACCTTCTCCTTGAAGCCTACTGCATTTATTAAAGAAGATCAAATTAACAGAGTTGCCATGCCAGGACCAGCAGGGTTATGGTGATCAGAGCTCTGCCCAGCTTTAATACACCTTCAAGTCCAGTTCTAAACAAGTGTTCACATGCAGCACTCTGAAATTGGGTTTGGGA